TGTCCGCCGCTTAAGAGCGTCTACACTGGCCCCGATCCTCCGGAAAAAAGCCCTTTTCCAGAGGATCTCTTATTCCTACTTCGAAGTAGGAATAAGAGATCCTCCGGAAAAGGGCTTTTTTCCGGAGGATCGGGGCCAGTGTAGACGCTCTTTTCCGGCTTTTCTAAAAGCCGGAAAAAAGCGGCGGACATTTTTATTTAAATGCCGCGGGGGATATTTAAATCCCCCGTGGATTTCCCTATTACGACCTGTAAAATTAGCATGCCCCTTTCGGAAAAGGGGCCAGTGTAGACGTACCCTTTGAGATTTGTGCCCTGTTTCCTAACAGTCAGCTCTGAGGTTGTTACTCACACTCTTGTGCCACTGTGAGACAGCTTGCCAAGTTAATCCATGCAGTGACCAAAGGAATGAACAAAAGAGACAGACACATACTCATTAACAGCTCCACGTCAGTGTTGACCTGAGCTAGTAATGCCTCTCTGCGCTGTTCTGCTCTGTGATCCAGACTGCTCCTGAGCAGGTATTGAGCCAGATTTTCCTGGGCCTGCAGATGTAGTTCCTTACTCATGTCTTCTGACATTTCGGAAGCCTAGAAGACAATAACATTTGTCACTATTAAAGAACGGTTATCGTTTTAAATTCTTTGTGAGCAGGTTAACGTCTACGGAACATTTGCATTCCTCATCTATTTATAAATTTAATAATTCTGCTTCCTCTTAAGTTTTTTCTGCGAAATGATTCATCATCCAGTGGATACAATTTTCTAATTAGGCTTTACTTATCCTGTTTTATTACATTAAGGTTAAAACAATTACAAATAAGAAGGATTAATATGTGCACAGCTCACATGGGTGTTATCTTGAGCACTGAAGTTTTATATAACTGGACATATTTCATCCCTCTCATGCACTCTGGTGGGTGGGGAATGCAGAGCTACAAAATCTCTAAGACACACCGGGTGCAGTCTGATGTAGTCATCCACCTTTTGCTGTAATGCTAGATTCTGTGTACTGGTGAGTTCCTTGGGTTCTTTCCAGGGAGAGAGAGCCTTCCGTTTCCTTTGACATTTGTTCAGGAATTTGTGAGCCTGCATGAAAGAAGATATCAGAATATGCCATTCACAGGTTAGGTATTTGATTTAGTCAATTAAAAAAAAAACCTTTAAAGAAAAATGTTGCAGCATTGCAGCAAGTAAGGTGCAGCTTTCGATTTCATAGTGCAGAGGTAATACATGAGTGGGCATGATATTGTTAGTTTTACTGCTTATACAAGCTGCATAGAGAATCCAGCCCTAGTTCCAAAGTAACAGCTCGTATCAAGTTTTTGTATGGATTGCACTGCATTTTGCAGTTTGCAAAGAGTTCTGAAGAGCTGATCAAGTTTGGGGTTCTGGTTTGATTTGCATGGACAGTTTTTTACTATGTTAATACTTGGTTACTAAATTCTGGCAAAGCTGTCATTCATGGAAGTAAACAAGCCTCATAAAGAATTGCAGTAATCCAGTCAATCTTGTCTAGCTCAAGTACAGAGTTTATATACTTACGGCTCTCTGAATGATGACAGCTGCCTTATGCTGTTTAAAAGATTGTCTTTGTTGATGAAGATTTCTCCTTGCCCTATATCCCCTCCAGTGTCTCTGAATAGTTAATGCTGCCTTCCCCTCCGTTTCCTGAATGTGCCTATCCACCTGGCCTGAAGAGAAGACAGACATTCATTGTTATACAACTGTGGGTGTGATCTCACAAGTATAACAAGGTTTGCCTTTCCAGTCCTTGGAAAATAAACCATCATGGAAAACTCAGATGCTGCAGCAAATAGCATTGGTGGAACAGTAAGTGGCACTTTTCCTTCTGAACCAAAACCTCAGCACACTAATCATGGACACTGAGCTACTGGCAGTACAGTTCTCAGCATAGACATACTGCTGCGGGATCTTTAATCAACACAAAGTGGCAGGATCTCCTTCATACCTCACATCTCTCCAAAGAGAAGAGATTTTAAGCCACTATGTCTTTGATATGATTACTGAGAATTGAAACATTTAGGCTGTTCTCCACCAGACATTTAGGTTATAAAAAGAGACAGGCACATATGCAAGATTGGGAAATACTTTTGTTGTATGAAAGATTATTTTAGAAATCTTAACAGTTTAACATAAGTCATACCAGCATGAACTATTTCCAGTAAAGTCAGTTGTTGTTCATGAAAACGCCTCATAGCCCTTTGTCTCTGAAGCTGCAATTGTTGTCGGAGAATCTCGTCGTCTTTCTGCCTTTTTGACTGTTCCAATGCCTGTTCTCGCTTAGCTCTGCAATAACATGCATATTAAGAATTGACCTAAGCTTTCAATTTCTCAAATGCACATTTGGAACTAATCTCCAATCTCTATTCCTCACTAGGACGAATGATCCAGTGGTGAGGCAGAAAATTCTTAGAATGAACCGCCATCCGATTCTTTGGAACTGATTTGTAAAGTCCAATGCCAATCAAGTTAAGATCTGCAAAGGGTTGACAGTCTAATCATCAAGTCCCTTGGTATGCAGATCTAAGCCAGCTATGCAGTCCAGTGTCAAACCAGAGGATATAATACTCCTTGGGATAAGTTTATAATAACCAGGGTGCTCCTGGAGGCACGTCTGCTCATAGTAAGCCAGATTCTTAGATGACAGATTGGAGTAGCTATACTGGTTTACATCTGCCAAGGACTTGGTGCAGGGACTCTGGTCACCTACAAAAGTGCATTTCTAAGGTGCCCGTCATTATACAGCAAGTGCCATATGCTGTACAAACCAAGAATAGTGCCTTCACTGTCTGCAAAAGAATCCCCTCTTCTCATTAAGGCTGATTTTCTTAAATTGGATAACTTTTGGTGACTGACTTCCAGGGGAAATGCTGACAGGTCGTTATTCTGCATCAGCATTACTGATGGAGGCTAGGATTGAGATCTCTTACATCATCTCTTAAGAGCAGCAAGGCTCTGATTCTTCTTGGTCAGAAGTCATAAGGAAGTTCACAGACAAGAATGCTGCATTGACAGCTCCCTAATGAGACCCTAAGGGTACGTCTACACAACAGGGCTGAAGTCAAATTAAGCTATGCAACTTCAGCTATGTCAATTGTGTAGCTTAAGTCAAAATAGTATAATTCAGCTTTTGGCACTGTCTACACAGCAGGAAGTTGAAGGAAGAACACTCTTCCTTGGACTTCCCTTACTTCTCATTAAATGAGGGTTACCATAAGTCGAAGTAAGAAGTCCTCCAGCTCAACATTATTTCAAAAGAAAGGCTTGTAGTGTTGACATGCACTATGTTATTTCGGAATAACTTAAGTTATTCCAAAATGATGCTGCTGTGTAGACATACCCTAAGAATTTAACCTTAGAGACTACCAGTCATTATTTCCCCTCCATCACATAATATAGAGAAGGTTACACTTGCACCTTAGTTCGAACTAGGGATGCAAATGCAGGCATTCGAAATAGTCAATGAAGCGGGGATTTAAATATCCCACGCTTCATTAGCATGATCTCACCGGCGCGCTAGTTTGAATCACAGCTGATTCGAACCAGGAAGTGCGTGCCAGGACGCGTTAGTTTGAACCAAATCCCTTGGTTCGAACTAACGTTACTCCTCAAAATATGTGGAGTAACGTTAGTCCGAACCAAGGGGTTTGGCTCGAACTAACACGTCCTGGCACGCACTTCCTGGTTTGAATCAGCTGTGATTCAAACTAGCGCGCCGGCGGGATCATGCTAATGAAGCGTGGGATATTTAAATCCCCGCTTCATTGACTATTTCGAATGCCTGCATTTGCATCCCTAGTTCGAACTAAGGTGCAAGTGTAAACATACCCTGAGAGAGCTAGGCCCTGGCTTTACACATCAGAACCCTAACAGTAATTGTCCCATCATAACTTAAAGAGACACATAGCTATTACACTCCTAATTATAGTCTATATTATATCTGTAATTTATATAAATAACTTTATGGTATGTAGCAGAATGGAAAGCTGCCATCAGACTGTCCAAAAAAGTTTCCAGTCCCTTCCTCGCTGCTTTAAACTGTCTTTTTGTGTTTCTGATCCAGGAGAACACATGTTATGATGTTACTACTTCTGAGCAGTGTGAAATCTCAGAATAAAAAGGGACTCATGACATTTTCCCAACAAAAATCTTATTCGTGCTCTTTTACTAGAAACCCTTATAAGCTCCACTAGTTAGGAAACCACAAGAGTGTAAAGTCTGCCCTCTGATGGATTCTTCAAATGTATGCTTGTTAAATGGTTACGGTTGTATGTTATGCATTTAACAGGTTCTGATTATGCAAACTCTCATTCTCTATATTACTATGTGTTTTGCAGAATGCCTTCTTTTCATCATTCACAGGGATAGAGAATGAAAAGTCACATCTGGGTTACGCAGATACACTTGTGACAGGAAAAAACACTCACAGACTGAAACCTAAGCTTCCTTTTACAGGGCATGATTGGAAATAACCCACTTTTGATCATATCTGTTGATACTTTTATTGCTGACGTATGCTGAATTAACAAGGATTGTTTCATTGTAACAAATGTAAGATTAGTTGATTATGTGACAGTCTAACCAACTTCCAGGGTAGATTAGATTTGCTAAAGGTACATTAAAACCGAGAAATATTTGTGAAACCATACAGCTTTCAGAAGTGTACAGAAGGCAGATTCTGAGATATTCCAAGTTAGCCACACTCAAGCTATGAGTTTCAGTCCTACTTAAATTTAACTATATTTACTGAGAGCATAGCTTTCACAAAACTCCATAAATATAGTTAAGCCCCGAATTCACAGTCCCACCTGCGGACAGCTAAAGCACTTCAAGTGTGGTGCACTGACATTCAAGGATGCTTTCAAATAGCAATGCTTATGGTAGTTCAAGCAGTATTCTTGCTTTTTGGCGGAACAATCTAGCTATCATTTTTAGTTAGACTGTAACAATTTTAGGAAGTATTGTATTTTTATTATATTGTACATAGTACACTTGGTCCCTGATCGGGGCCTCTATGCACTACCAGAATAGAAATAATTGCCATCCCTTTTGATCTTAAACTAACTAACATTACTTGAGTAAATGACAGATATTTATATTTGCAACTACAAAAATGCTTACAGAACAAATCTCAGCAGCCAGAGACCCCATCGTTCCTGCTGGAGTCCCATCATGTTATTACCAAATGCAGACTGTGAGCTTTTTGGGGCTAGAGGCTGTATCTTGCAAATGTTTGCTGGGTGCCTGATTTGCTCACAAATACTGACCCAAAGTGCTAAGTAAGTACTTGGTGGAAATCAACGTACCCTGAATCATCTCATCCACAGCAAGGCCATAAAGGCCCTTCCCCCTAAAGATAGGGAGGAAGGGATAACTCAGTGGTTTGAGCATTGGCCCACTAAACCTAGCGTTGTGAATTCAGTCCTTGAGGGGAGGCCATGTAGGGATCTGGGGAAAATCTGTCAGGGATTGTACTTGGCCCTGCTGTGAGAGCAGCAGACTAGACTCAATGCCCTCTCAAGGTCTCTTCCAGCTCAATGAGATAAGGATTCCATAGGGCTTGGATGTCCAGTTGGGCAGGAGCAGAACTAGAGGAAAAGCAGGCCTCCGTGCATCACCCCGCAAATAATCAAAATGCAAATACCCATGAGAATTTATGCAGTCTCCATCAGCATAAACTCTTGTGGGTTCCTCTCCTCCCTCCAAGAGTGATTTTGGCAAGGGTGATTTTGGCTCAGGTGCAGAGGAAGCACAGTGGAACTGTGCTGACAGGCAGTGTGTGTGTGTGGGGGGGGGATCACTGAGAATCAGTGTAAAGTAAGTGGCCCTTCACAGACGCCTTGAGACAGCCACATATTTGAAAGCAGAGGTGAGTATCTCCCATCCCAGATGAAATGGCAAATCAGACACCTTGTCTGGGATTTAAAGAGTGTTGTTAGAATGTGGCAGCAAACATATTTCTAGCATAGACTTTATGCAAAGATGCAATTTTATTTTGATGCAGACATGTTAGTGAGAATGTATGAGCTACCATGAGCAAACATCACACCTCGATCTAGCCACATAAAAATGACACTGATTTACTGCTAGCTTATTTGAGTTTCATTCTTTGTGAGCAGAAACAAGAGTCCTAGATCTCATACCATAGCTTGCTGGAGAGAGCTGAGATACAACCCTTCTTTATTCCCCCTATCTGAGAAATGTCCAGGCATATTATACAAATTGTGTACAGGGGCTTATAGTGTTTTGAGAGTTTCTTTTTTTAAATATCTGGATGTTCATTAAGCCCAAGAAGACATATTTATTGCAACTAGAAGTAGCTGGTGCAGACTAAGCCAGTGAAGTAATCTAACGCTCAAAAAAGCTCAGAAAATTCTGATAACATTGTGGACACTCCATATATTGTTATTATGCACTGCAGTTTCTGTCATAATTTGTAACTGATTTACATATATTAAATACAGTTAGGAATAATATTGGGAGCAATTTTTGTTATGTAGAAAAATCTATTCTCATTGTTCATATACAGTGCCCATCATAGCAGTTTCTGAGAGAAAGAACCCGGTTTTGTTTTTCTTACCTGAAACTTCTTTGCAAGGCAGTCACCGCTTTAGGAAGCGTCTTTAATCTTTTCCGGGTCTGAAATCCCCTCCACACAGCCTGGATTAAAGAAGCTGCTTGATGCAATCTCTGAAAGTAACAAACCAGTTGACAGAATATATTCCCAGCATATATAACACTTTTTATTGCTATTTGCTCATTTAGAACAAGCTCAGTATTTGGTCAAAACTAACTTCAGTTTGAATTCACTGTTTCTAAATACATGAGTAAATTTATATTCCCATAAATAAATTACTAGCATGAACCCTATATTTGTTTCTTGGGTTGCTGCTCTGTTCAACTGGTTCATTTCCTAAATATAGCACATAAAGGATTTGACGGGAAAACCCAGGAGCTAAAAGCCTTTCAGAAGTGTAAGAGAGCTGGGAAAAATACTCCAGCTAATCGCAGGACTGGATGACTCATAGCTCTAGTTCTGTCCCTTGAACTGAGGTGAGACTAAGTATTATCTAGACCAGGGATCGGCAACCTATGGCTCGCAAGCTGGATGTGCACTTGGGGGGGGCGGCACACAAAGAATTGTACTTCCACCAACTTCCTCCACACCAGCACTCACCTTCCTTGCACCTTGAAGGTAAGTTGCTGCTGCTGGTGAGCTTGTGGGAGGAGGTGTGTGCGTGCAGGGCGAGGGAAAGACCAGGACCGTGGGTGCCTGCCAGAGCTTGGCTTTGCTGTGGCTGCGCCGGGACTGAGGCTGGAGTATACCCCGGATGTGTGGCAGGTGGCTGCTGGAGCTGAAGCCAGCTGTTCATGGTGGGTCTCGGGGCTGAGACTGGGGTACACCCCGCCCCCTGAGCCACTGCACAGCAGCTGGCTTCAGCTACGGCAGCCGCCATGTGGCAGGCAGCTGCTGGAGCTAAAGCTGGCTGTTTGCAGTGGCACCAGCCTGGCCCCCCCGAGCCACTCAGGCAGCTACCACGTGGAGGAGAGTTTGGTGCAGAACCGGGCTCTGGGAATTCCTTTATTTAAAAAATTGCAACCACATTTACAAAAAACAGTACCCCCCCGCCGAAATTCCTGCGTAAGGGCTTGTCTTGAGTAAAAATAACTTGCAAGTCTATTATGAATCCACTGTTAAGTACATAATCAGAAAACAACTTTTCCACACCTAATAAACTCTCTGTGGATAAAATGTTCAAGGCGACCTCAAAAACTGAAGAGAGATTAGGTACTACATCCCTTCAAAATCCCACTTTCCCATCTAACCTTGCAGATGCCAGGAGTCCAAACTTTGGCAGATAAAGTTCTCAAGTACCTAAGTTTGTGGACCTGCACCCCCTGTACTCCAACCCCACATTTAAATGTCATACCGGCCTTGTTATATAGCACATTCCCTCCAACCCCCACTATAAGTCACAAGGGGAGCAGGTTGATAGGACAGTACCTGTAAAAAATTTAAGTTACTTTCACCTCTATCCTTAAAACTGTTCATTTTAACAACCATTCATTCCTCTCCACTCATTGAGGGTTGTGCATATTCAATTTTTACTTAATTGGTTGAGAAATCTTTCCTGATGGTGTATTATTCTATGACTCCTAACAGGAATATGGCAATGAGAAAGAGCAGAGATGACAAGTACCAACATTTTCAAAAGGACTGAACAGACTTGCATGCATTTGTGGATAAGTCTGGATCTTCACACTGTCTCATTTGTAGTGAGAGACTTTCCTCAAACAAACGAACAAACAAACAAACATCAAACTGAGAATGGCATTTCACGACAAAACTTGCAGCATTTGCTACAAAATACCCCGAGGGTAACACGCAAAAAAAAACCTGTGAGGAGCTGCAGTGAAAAAATGAACATTGGCGAGAATAGCCTGCTGGCATAGTAAAAAAAAGGTGGAAATTTAAACTCCACAATTCTGTGCGCTCATACAGCATTATTCGAGGGGGGAAGCCTTTCACTGACGGGGATTATGTGAAAAGATGCATGCTAAAAAACAGTCATGAACTACTTTGTGAGTTTCACAACAAGGACAAAATATTACAGAAAATTCAAGACATGCTATTATAGGCAAAAACAGTCGATGTGAAAACGGCCCATCAAATTGAGAAGGACCAAATACAAAAACTGAGTACAGCTACTTATTTTTCATTTGCTTTGGACGAGACAACCAACATAGGTGACATTAATCAGTTGTGTATTCTGGGATGATATATTTGTGGAAATGCTGTGCACAAAGAAATGATTGTGATATTACCAATGAAAAATCAAACAAGGGGCAAAGACATCCTTAAAACCGTGATGGACTTTGTAAACGAGAAAGAAATGCTACTGGATAATCTTGTGTCTATGTGTATGGACGGTGCACCTACCATGGTCGGCAAATATGGGGGGGTTCCTTACTCTTTTGTCAGAACAGCTGAGCCGCCCACTTTTGAACTTTCATTGCATTGTGCATCAGGAGGGACTTTGTGCACAATCTTCTGGAATTGAACTTGGAAATGTTATGGGACTGGTCGTTCGCACTGTCAATTGGATTCTTGCCTGAGCCCTTAATCACCGTCAATTTCAGCCACTCTGAGGAAGTAGATTCCAAATACCCCGATCTAGTAATGCACAGCAACATTTGCTGGTTATCTCGTGGCAAAGTTTTGCCTCGTTTTGCCACCAACATTAATAAGATGAAGTCATTTTTGGATATGAAGGGTGTCAAACACCCCGAGCTTTCAGACTGTGACTAGTTGCTAAGTTTTACTATCTCATCAACGTTATTGTTCATTTGAATAAGTTAAATCTTAAGCTACAAGGGCAAGGAAATCCAGTCCTGACTGTAGCAGGCAGTGTTTGGATATGATTCAAAATTGACTGTCTTAATCAAAGAGATTGAGATGGGCAAACTGGCACATTTTGAAAGACTATGAAAGTTACGTTATTCGTATCAGAGAGAGAATCCAAATAACAGCCTTGATTTGCAACAGCTTGCCAGGTTTGTTTCTGAACTCCTAATGGCATTCAAGTCTCGTTTTGTTGACTTTCGCAAATACAGTGCTCTGTTTAAGTTTATGATTTGTCCACATATGGCATCCATTGAAGAAATGGACTTGACAGTCTTTCCAGATATCTTAGCCAGCCATTTAGAAATGGCAGATTTCAAGGAATCAGATATCTGGGTGGAAAAATTCATCAAGCTGATTTATAATGCCTTGCTTGACAATGTGCAGAATTGGCAGAACTGCACAAATGGACTGACATGAAGAAATTGGAGCGTGATGATAATTGGATTCTGCAAACTTGGAAAGAACTTCCTGTCACATACAACATCATGCAGAACATCAGCTTGGCCTTACTTTCAATGTTTGCTCCACTTATATGTGTGAGCAGGCTTCTCTCATTTGAATCACATCAAGGGTACTTTGCACTCAAGATTGACAGAAGACAGCCTGAATGTGTGCATGAAGCTGAATTTGACCAGTTATGATGTAAACTTCAAAGAAATGTGCAAAAAGATGTAGCAGCAGAAGTCTCATTAAATAAAATGGGTGAATACAATGTTTAAAATTGATGCTGTTATTAATCATGTCAATTATCAATAATATCACGTTGTATATTTTGAGTCGTACAAATGAGTATTCTTATATGGCTCTCTGTTGACCACATGTTCTGAATTTTGATGTAGTTTGGCTCTTTGGTTTGAAAAGGTTGCCAACCTCTGATCTAGGCCATGTATGACCTAGATGTTTACCCTGTTCTTAAAAATCCACAATGATGGAGATTCCACAACCTCTATAGGTAATTTGTTCCAGTGTTTAAGCTTAATTACCCTTACAATTAGGAAGCTTTTCTTAAGGTCTAGCCTTAATCTCCCTTATGTTTTGTCCTGTCCTCAGTGGTTAAGTAGAACAATCTATCATCTTCCTCTTTACAACAACTTTTTACATACTTGAAGATTGTTATCATATCCCCTCTAGGTCTTCTCTTCTCCAGATTACACAAACCCAATTATTTTGGGCTTTCTTTGTAGGTCATATTTTCTAGACCTTTAAATATTTGTTGCTTTCCTTTGGACTTTTTTCCAGTTTGTCCACATCTTTTCTGAAATGGATGCAATATTCCAGTTGAGGCCTTATCAACAGAACCCTACAAATTTGCAGGTATCCACAGGGCTCTACTTATCAGTGCTGAATAGTGGGAAAAAATTAGTTTTCATGTCTTGCTTACAATGTTCCTGCTAAATATACCACAAACAATGTTTTGTTTATAACAGTATGCATTGTTGTGATCCACAATAAACCCCAGATCATTTTCTGCAGTACTCCTTGCTAGGCATCATTTCCCATTTTGCATTTGTGCAGTTGATTGTTGCTTCCCAATGTAGTACTTTGCATTTGTCCTTACTGAATTTCATCCTATTTATTTCGGACCATTTCTTCCGTTTGCCAAGATCACTCTGAATTCTAATCTTGTCCTCCAAAGTAAATGCAGCCCCTCTCAGTTGGGTATTGTCTGCAAATTTTATATGCCATTATCCAAATAATTTTATAAAGACTAATTAGAACTGGATGCAGAACGGATCCCTGTGGGACATCGCAGCTCGATTTGTGGCTACTGATACCTATTCTCCGAATATGCTTTTTCCAACCAGTTGTGAAGCCAGCTTACAGTAGGTTTGTTTGGGATATATTCCTCTGGCTTTGTTTATTAAAGGGTCAGGTGAGAGAGCATCAAAAATCTTACTGAGGATGAGCTGTTATCACATACATAGCTTTCCCTCCATCCAGGAAGCTTGTTACTCTGGCACAGAAGGTCATGAGGTTGGTTTGACATTATTTATTCTTAACAAATCCATGTTGATTATTACTTCTCACCTTATCTTCTAGGTGTTTGCAAACTGACTGTTTGATTATTTACTCCATCATCTCTCCAGGTTCCAAAGTTAAGCTGATCGGTTTATAATTTCCTGGGTTGTCCTTATGTCCCTTTTCACAGATAAATACTATATTTGCTTTTTCTAGTCCTTGTGTCTCTCTCCAGTCCAGGAGTTCTCAAAGATCATTGCTAATGGCTCAGAGGTCTCTTCAACCAGCTTCTTAAGTAGTCTGAGGATGTATTGTTTTAGGTCCTGCTAACAAACTCATTTAACTCATGGGTAATGGGTAATGTAGACAAGGGAATTCATTAGGGGTTGGGGTTCAACCTTCAGCTGGGATTGGGCAGGGCTTGGCGGGGGGAGGGAGGCTATAAAGGAGCATGTTCTTGGGGGAGGGGTTGTGGCTTTGGGCGGGGGGCTTTGGCTCCCTCTCCCAGTTGGGCCTTCACCCGCGGCCCATGATCTAACTCGTCCAAGGCTTGGTCTACACTAGAAATGTTAAAATGCATGTAACTGATTAACTGTGTAATTGCTGAAAATGTCAGTGGTTACACAATTACAAACGGGCAGCAGTCTAATTTCCTGGGTTGTCCTTATGTCCCTTTTCACAGATAAATACTATATTTGCTTTTTCTAGTCCTTGTGTCTCTCTCCAGTCCAGGAGTTCTCAAAGATCATTGCTAATGGCTCAGAGGTCTCTTCAACCAGCTTCTTAAGTAGTCTGAGGATGTATTGTTTTAGGTCCTGCTAACAAACTCATTTAACTCATGGGTAATGGGTAATGTAGACAAGGGAATTCATTAGGGGTTGGGGTTCAACCTTCAGCTGGGATTGGGCAGGGCTTGGCGGGGGGAGGGAGGCTATAAAGGAGCATGTTCTTGGGGGAGGGGTTGTGGCTTTGGGCGGGGGGCTTTGGCTCCCTCTCCCAGTTGGGCCTTCACCCGCGGCCCATGATCTAACTCGTCCAAGGCTTGGTCTACACTAGAAATGTTAAAATGCATGTAACTGATTAACTGTGTAATTGCTGAAAATGTCAGTGGTTACACAATTGGGAGCTGGCTGCTGCCCCTTACTGCTGCCTCTGTGGCCAATGGAGCAACAGAAGGCAGTGCCTACAGGAAGCGTTTCCCTGCAGCAAGCAGAGCCACTTCCTTCCTCTGCCAGGCAGAGCCCTCAGGCTGCATCTGGCCCACAGCTTGCTTTGATCAAGCCCACGAGGCTTGGGTGGGGAGCCGGCAATGGCGCTCCAGGTCTGGTGCCCTCTGCATGGCTGTAGTCACAGTGCCAGCTTGTGCTACTGCTGGAGGAAGGGGAGCCCTGAGCCTTACAGGCCAGATTAGTGCTGGATCCAGCCCGCAGGCTGTAGATTCCCCTTCCCTGAAGTAACACTTAACTTGTTCTTTTCCTGGTTTAGCCTTGAATCCCACGCTATTTACACTGCTGGTCACTGTGTTAGTTGTCCAATCATTGCTAACTTTTTTGGTGAAAACAGAAACAAAAAAAGCATTTAACACTTCAGTTAGTACTATTGTTTTTCGCTCCTCCTTGAGTAATGGGTGTACCTATTCTTGTCCTTCCTCTTGTTTCTCATGTAAAATGTTTTCTTGTTACCCTTTATGTCCTGCTCCCTAGCTAGTTTAATCTTGTTTTGTGGCTTGGCTTCTTTAATTTCATACCTGCATGTTGGGGGAAAGAGGATTGTGTATGTCTTCTTTTCAGATTAGAACTGAGCTTCACAATTAAAACAATCCTTCTTCAGATGTAGTTATTAGAATAACATCTCTGAGAGATCTCAATGTATGACACTTGTTGTCCAGGTGGATAAGACATGGACTTACACTCAGCTCCACAAAAGAGCATCTTTTACTGGTCATTTCTTTTACTTAGATACATATATGGCCCACATCTCTGAAGTATCGAAGTGTCTCCCTAGGACGTACAGATCTAACTGTACCCATCTCTGTGAGTTAGGGAAGTATTATTTTCCCTAGTTTAGAAAGAGCTGAATCCAGGTAGAAAGAGATTACGTGCCTTTCTCAAAGTCACCCAGGAAGTCTAACAGAGTTGCTAAATGAACCCACATTTCTCTTCAGACCTTAACCACAAGACCATTCTTCCCCTATTTCTTGATATGCATAGCCTCTCACTGTTGAAAGCCTTGGAAGTGATAGAGTAGAAAACAAAAAGGGTAATTTTTAAAGACATATGTATTATTAGTAGATGCTGTGGCGTTTGGAAGGTAGGGCAAGAGTAAACCCAATGTAAGCAACTATAAATCCACCAAATAGAAAAGTCTCATTAAGCATTCAGCACCTGCATTTCTCCTTTCCTGTAAGATTTGGAGTAAAGAAGGTCCAGAAGTTGATTGAGATTTCTGTCAAATCCTTTGCCAGTCCACTGCTTACTTAGCAAAATTCTCAGTCCTAGGAGAGAGAGAGGAAAAAATAAGCATGTTAAATTGTTAAAGCTGATTTTTTATTAGCTTGCTTACCAAGCAGATTACAAACTAGCAAACACAGCTGAATATCAGCCAATCAAATTTGAGTGTATATGTGTGGAAAAGGATATTAAATCAGAGCTAAATGTAAGTACAGGCCATTACCTTTGAGTCTCAATGTAAAACATTATTGATGAAGAGCTGAATGTAAAAGAGTAGTTGAATAGTTGACTACTTGCATTTCCCCACCCCCCTGCTTGTCAGAGAGAGGCAGCAAGGGGAGGAAGCAGGAGCCAGTTCTTGGGGGAGACGGCTTAAACCATCTCTGCAGTGGGTGGGGGAGGGAGAGGGGAGGCAAAGGCACAGCCTTTTAAATATAGCAAGAGCTGCTTCCTTCAGTCCTGGCTCACGCTGGATCCTATGCTGCGCCTCTTCCTTTAAATATAGCAAGAGCCAGGTGGCTCTTACTAAATTTAAAAGACAGAGGTGCAGCGGGGTTAGCACCTGGGGGTGGTGCGAGCCAGGACTGTTTAGTCCCCAGCTCACACTGCCCCCGGGAGTTGCCCCCACTGCAGCTCTGCAGTTTAAAAGTAGTAGGAGCCAGGCTGCAACCGAGCTCCTACTACATTTAAACTGCAAAGCTGCAATGGGGGTAGCAAGTCCTCCTCCTCTTATCAACTAATCAATGGAAATTTCATCAACTACTCAATTTAGCTAATTATCTGCAATTTAACATCGATAGCACAGACTTCATTAGAAAATGTTATACAATAGTTACAGCTTTGTAGCTGCAAGTCACTATCTTCAGGATGTGACAAGCAAATAAAATAGTGATAGAAATGTAGCCGTGTTAGTCTGGTGTAGCTGAAACAAAATACAGGACTATGTAGCACTTTAAAGACTAACAAGATGGTTTATTAGGCAATAAGCTTTCGTGGGCCAGACCCACTTCCTCAGATCAAATAGTGGAAGAAAATAGTCACAACCATATATACCAAAGGATACAATTAAAAAAAAGGGAACACATATGAAAAGGACAAATCACATTTAAGAACAGAAGGGGAATGGGGGTGGAGGGGGAGGTAAATGTCTGTGAGATAATGATATTAGAGGTGATAATTGGGGAAGCTATCTTTGTAATGGGTAAGATAACTAGATCCTTTGTTCAGACTCAGATGTAAAGTGTCGAATTTTAGCATGAATAACAGTTCAGAGGATTATCTTTTTTTGCAAAGGGGCAGAACAGTGGGAGTCTGGGATCAGCTAGAGTCTTCAGTTGACCCCAGGCTCCCTGCAGCACTGCCCCTTTGCTACACGACCACTGAGTAGGATGCATGTGATTAGGTCATTGAGACAGTGTCCTTTCTGGTTGAAATGGCAAGAAACTGTTTTTTCTTTGTGATCCTGTCTAATATCTGTTTTGTGGGCATTGATTCTTTGGCGAAGTGTCTGAGAGAATCCTCTGAACTGGCATTCATGCTAAAATTCGACACTCTCCGCAGGGGGCTGAACAAAGACCCCAACTACCTTACCCTTACAAAGATAGCTTCCCCAATTATCACCTCTAATACCACTAGCTCACAGACATCTACCTTTCCCCACCTCTAATATCATTAACTCACAGACATTTACCTTCCTCCCCCCCCACACATCCCCCTTCTGTTCTGAAATGTGATTTGTCCTTTTCATATGTGTTCACTTTTTTTTAATTGTATCCTTTGGTATATATGGTTGTGACTATTTTCTTCCACTTTTTGATCTGAGGAAGTGGGTCTGGCCCACAAAAGCTCATCATCTAATACACCATTTTGTTAGTCTTTAAAGTGCTACATAGTCCTGTATTTTGTTACAAGCAAATAAATTATCAATAATTTTTTTGTGCCTGATCACGTAATCTCTGTAAAGTACTTTTAAGATGTAAAACACTACGTAAATGTTAGGTTTTATTACAAATGCTTTTATATCACAAAGAAACTTGCTCTTTCAGGACCTGTCAGGAACCACACATATTATTTTGGAATTTTTCTAGCCTGAGACAAGAAGCAGAGAGACAAACCTTTGTAGCGGATACTGAGTAACTCCACAAGTTGAGGGTGAGATTCAGCCACTGACAGCAACAGTTTTGTAGCTGCATTTCCTGTGACAGGATTGGTGGTAGATGAAAGCTTATAAACAAGTTCATCTAAAACAGAGTGAAGGATCTTTTCATCCACATGCAGTAACACAGAACTAAGAAAAAGAGACAAACAGGAATGTTATTGAGGGATGCATACTTCAAGAATGGCTTTCTTCTTCAGAAGTATTAGAACAATGCAGGATCCCATGACTAGTAGACAATACTCCAACCTACTATGGAAGAGTGAGGGACTGGATGTCCTAATGGAACTTTTCCCACTATAGGTTTACACTAGATGATTTATCCAGCGTTGCTGGGTCCTTAACTCAATATTGAGTAAGAAGATTAAAGTTTTGTTTTTCTTCATTTAAATCGTTGTTCTGGGATGGGGCTTGATCCTATAAGGTGTTGAGCATTCTGGCTCCCCTCCAGCACAGAACTTCTTCATGTGCTTAACTACTATAAATATGCAAGTATTCTCATTGACTGAGTGGGACTATGCACGTACTAAATTGTTCTATGCATAGGGACCAAAGTGCTGAGTTGTTAGGGACAAGTCTATCCTCACCTAAACTGCTCTCATTCTACTGTCAATTGACACTGTGTTTACATGTCTGAGGGCAGAAATGGGCATTTATATAGCACTTTCCATGTTCAAAACATCATGTAAATTTAGCTAACAAACACAATATCCTCCACAATCCTCTCCCCCACCCCCCCTGAATGCTATGTGCAGGAGGAGCAAGGGGCTGGACAGCAGCTGGTGGGGCCAGTCTCTGGGTATCCTGGAGGAGCAGCAGGGAGGCCTGGTGCCCATATCAGGGCTGTGCCTAGACTTTTTCCGAAAAAGTGGGCACGTTCTTTCAGCATTCCTG